GCCGCGCGCCGTGGCGCGGCCGCGGCGGCGGGTGCCGCGGCGGCGAGCGCGTCGCGCAGGGGCAGGGCGGCGGCGAGCGCCGCGGCGGCAGCTGCGCGGAAGGCGCGGGCCTGGGAGACGTCGAAGGCGAGGCCGTCGGCTGCGGATTGGACGTCGGATATCATAGACGCGATCCGAGAGAATCCGCGCTCCAAATCCTCGGCCGTCAGCGTCTCGAACGGCGGCGGCGTGGGCGCGCCGCCGCCGGCCGCCGCCGCAGCGTCGGAGGGAAGCGGCGCGTCAGGGCAGACGGGCGCCGGCGCGGCCACGGCGGCAGCGTGTGCAGGGGTGGTTGCTGCGGCGGTTGCGTCAGGGGCTGCGCCGGCGCATGGGTCGACCTCCTGGCCACGGTCGTCGTCCCCCTGCAGCACCGGCAGCAGCCGCTGCTGATCGCCGGCGGCCTCACCCGCCGGCATCGCCATGCAGGCAGGAAGCGGCTGTGGGGCGCTCCTGTTCAAAGGGGCGGCAGCTGGCTGCCCCGGCCGCTGCGGCCCATCGGCAGCTGCTGCCGCTGGTCGGGCCCGCAAATGGGGTGCAGGACCGCCCAGCGATTGCGAGGGGCGGGCGGAGGTGCAAGAGGCGCGAGCCGGCCACTGCCTGCACCGGCGACGGCGCCTCGGGTTGATGCGCACGGACGAGGACGGCTGAGCGATGGACGGGGCTTCCGTTCGTGCTGTACCTTTGCACCTACACTTTTAAACGGGCGCTTCAAAGGCCATCTGCGAGCTGCGTGGCAGCTGGTGCAAATGTGAAGAGCTGGCTACCTCGTCTTTAATGTACGCATATCTTACTACAGCTTTGGATGTTTGTGACGGTCAGACGCCACGCCGATGCCTGGCGTGGGCCTTTGGAAGACTTGGCACGGGTGTGTCGCTGGTGATACAGCGATAACGGTATACTTTCTAGATGGCTTTGGAAATCTTCACTCATACTAGATAATAAGATTGCGCCCGAAGTGCTCAACAGCTGTCATCTTGATCCAACGCGCCTCTACACGTCAGATCAAACTTAGCGCCTCCATATTCGATCGTGTTGTTGCTATCATAGATAGTAAAGCAAATGGACGAGAACGGCGCATCAGACCTCCAGGTGGAGGGGGAACCCGAGCAGCACCAGCAACAACAACACACGAGCCTGTCGTTCCTGCAGCTCCACGATGCTTTCAAGCGGATGGTTGCTGTGGGAGTTGACGTTGTGGACGAGCAGGTGGGTCCGACGCGTCCGCTGCCGGTCCGGACGGAGTTGACAACTCGACGCAGCACCGCTGCAGCGTTTGAACGTGCATAGCCATTGCGGCGCCCTCTCACCCCGCCCCTTGCGCCCGCTGCCGGCCCAGACGTTCTACCGCATTATGGACGGCGTACCGGACCACCTGCTGTGGCTGTTCTGGCAGCTGTACACGCGGGTGCGCCGCTCCTCGACTCAGGCCAGACCCGGCAAACTGCACACGCCGCGCCCCAACCGCTGCACAGCTGCAACCGGCTGGGCCGGCTGCGCCGCACGCAGCTGAAGCCACACTTGCGGCCAGCATGGTGCCTGCTCCACCGTGCTGGCCGGTATCACAGCACACGCGGCCGCCATGCGAGTCCCTGTTCCAGACCGACCCCACGGCCCACAGACTCCCACACGCATCGGCACGACTCAAACCCATCCAACAAGCAGATCGTATCTGGGATAGTCGACAACTCAATGGCGGAGTTTGATGACCTGGCACGCGAGACCGACATGCGGCAGCAGCTGGCAGACCTGGAGGCGCTAGCGCTGCAAAAGGGGCGGCAGCTGGGCGCGGGCGCCGGCGCGCCGGACGGCGGCGCGGAGGGCGGCAGGTGCGGGCCAGTGGTGCAAAGCCTGCGGCCCATCGGGGAAATCCACACGCACGTTGGCGAGAACTTCCAAGGATTCGTTTTGTTGGAGGCTTTGTTTTAAGTCAGAAAGGTGTCTGCTTTCCCTGAGGCGACGCTCCTGGCGCATTAGGGTCATGCGGCACGGGACACCACGGGGCGGCGCGGGGCGCACTAGTGGCGCGGCTGCACCCCTGTCGCACCGGGCCGCCCTCGTGCACCTGCATTGCTCACCCACGAGACGCGGCTGAGTGCCCCTCCAACCCGCCCCGCGACGCGCGCAGCGGCGGCGCCGAGGACGCGGCCGCGGGGCCGGCGGCGGCGGAGGCGGCGGCGCGGGTGGCGGCAAAGCGGGCGGAGGGGCGGCAGCTGGCCGAGGCCCTCTCGAAGGTGCGGGTGCGGCCTGGGGCCTTAGCTCATCCCGACCCCCGACACGCCGCTTGACGGTTTTCGAGGCCTCGGGAGGTCACAGGCCCTCGTTTGGCAGGACCTGCTGGCTCCCAACCCTGCGGGTGGAGGCATGTTTTGCATTCAGTCTTCCTTCGTTGATTGACGTTTCTGATCAGATCTCAACGAGCCGTTTTTCGCGCAAGCAGCTTTGTTCGCGCTTTTTGCATGCCAGCAGCGCGCGCCGATCGACAGCAGCACAAGCCGCAGTCGCCGCCCCAATCTAAACCTACAAGCGCGCCCCGGCGCGTCCCTTGTCTAAACCGCAGCTGCAGCGGCAGAGGGACGACCTGCGAGCGCAGGTGGACGCGCGGCGCAAGGTGGTGGATGCGGCAAAGGCTGGATACACGCGCGCTGCCGACCACATGACAGAGGTGAGTGGGTCGGGGTTTGCTTTGGCGGGTCGCTTTGTGTGCTGGGACGTGTGAGTGAAAAGGAGAGAGAGTGTGAGTGCGTGTCCAGGGGGGTGTGGCTGGTGGAGTCAGCGGTGTGTGTTTGTTGTGTGTGTGTGTGTGTGCGCGCGTGTGTGTGTGTTTGTGTGTGTGCGCGCGCGCAGATGCGTTCCCACAATCTGCCGTCCCCTGCGCTCGCGCCGCGCGCCGCCGCAGCTCCACTCGGCGATGCAGGGCTGGCGTGTCGACGGCGCGCTCAAGGCCGGGGGCGGCACACCCTGAGGGGGGGCCAAGGTCGAGGGGCCGCCCTTTGGGCGACCTGCGCGTGTGTAGGGCGTGTCGCCGCGCGAGTGGGCTAGGGTGGAGCGACCTCATTGCTCGCACTGCCCCAAAGCGTGCTGCTGCGCTGCCTGTTGATTTCATTATGGACGACTTAATTGCTCGGTTTGTTGTATGGGCGGGGGACCTGACTACACAGGACGAATCAGGGCAGAGAGCTGTGGTGCGGTCGACCCCGCTGCCCGCTCCGTGCCCTTCTTACAACGGTGCCTTGAGGCACGGCGCAGTCGCCCTGACAATATGATGCGATCGCAGCTGCGTTTTGACGCAGGCAAACGCCAAAGCTGCGCGCGGGGGGCCTTTTCACATGGCCCCACAACTAGCGGGCGCGGACACGGTTGCCGGCCCCTCACCTCCAAAGCATGACTCGCCTGGCGCAACGGCTTGCATTACATGCGCGGGGCCGCGCTTTCGACACAGACGTGTAAACTGCTAAATACATATGTGTGTGAACAGTCAGCAGAGATGCCAGCGGGGGAACAATGTTTCAACCACAGTGTGCACACACACAAGTTGCCACCACATAGGCATGACCGTTGGTTGATGGGCTTTTTGCTGAAGTAACCAAGTCCATTTGCCACAACACGAACCCCTCACCAGAAGCAGGCCCCCACACCCCCCCCCCCAGATCTGGCGATAGATGTGATGTGAAGCAAATGGCAGTGATGCTATGGCAGGAGCTATCTATCCATCCGTGCCAGCTGCAAAGAACCGTTCCATTCAGAGCGCCGGCGGGTGTGCCTGGCGCCGCCAAAAGGCTCAGGGCCGGTGCGAAAGGGGCTAGGGGCCAGTCCTGTGTTGCACCCGCACAGCTGCATGTTTCGGGAATAAGACGATTGTCTTGTCGGTAACTCGTGCGAAGCCGGATCAAGGATGTGCGTGGTCGAATCGATCCAGTCGACGGCGCTCAGCCGGGCCCCGGGGGCGGCGGCGCGTGGCGTATGGCGGCCTCGCACTCACGGCCCCAAGTCCGTCCGTGGGATGTGATGGGGCTGATGGCAGAGATGCAATGGCACGAGGCAACTACAGTATGCATGTAGGCTGGGACGGATCAAAGATGTGCTTTGCCTGATTACACATGAAAAGACGCTCAGCCGAGGGGCGGCGGCGCGCGGCGGATGGCTGCCTCGACTTGGTGCAGCGCCCGGCGCACCGCCTCGGCGTCCGGCGAGGCGCCGGCCACGACCTCCAGGTAGGTGGCTAGGGGGGCGTACGCCTCGTGGGGCCTGAGGATCGAAGGTAGGAGGGAAGCGGAGGGGGAATGATTGCACTAAAGGGCGGCAGGGTGCTTGAATCAAGGGCTGGGAACGATGTGTACCAACGGTCTAGTCCAAAGGGGGGGCGCTGCGCGTTGCTGGCACTTGAGCACAGGCAGGTTTGTCTCAGCTGCATGATTGGGGCGGCGCGTGTAGCAGGCGTGGGGCAGCGGCTGCACGTCTGCGAGCTGCCCAGGGTCCCCCGCATTTTGCAAGAAACCGTCCAGGGCAGGGGTCCGAGGATCTGGGTGACCTGATGATCTGGTGATCTGTTGATCTGGTGATCACCCACCTGCCCAGGGCGGCCAACACCAGGCCCTCGTCCCGCAGGTCGCCCGCAGAGAAGGGGTCCAGAGCGCGCATGTATCTGCGCAGGGGGTTGGTGGTGGGTGGGGTTGGGATGTACACCACCCGTAAGTGACTGCTGATTACCATCGCTGGCTGGGCAGCTGGCAGGGATTCCAAATCGAACTCGTACAGGGGGTGCGAGCTGCTTGAAATCCATTAAAAAATGAAGGGTGGTTAGCTGACATCCTGTGACAAGTGAGGTAGGGCCAGGCCTGATATGGAGAAGGCACGTGGACTGCTCGCAGCATACGGGACCCGCACAGTCAGCGGCTGCCAGCGCGCGGAACTCCGAGACCCAGCGCGCCGCAGTCCACCCGGGCGCGAACGGCACATGGCAGCGGAACCGGCCCCGTCCCGCCAGCCGCGCGACGCCCAGCAGGCGCCTCACGCGCGCGTCGGCCCCGCTGCAGCATTCATCTGCGCAGCCCGCAGCGTTCTGTCTGCATGCGCCAACAGAACTTTGCTGGTCGCCGTGTTTCTCAAGATCTGCAAAATCTGGGCTCACCTAATCACGCCCAGCGCCTCCTCCATGATCCCCGTCAGCACGTACGTCCGCTTCACATCCATAAAGGCATAACCCAACAGCCTCTTCAGCGAAACCGGCTCCAGCTCAGCAGCTTCAGCCGGCCCCAGCAGCTTCACCGGCTGCCCGCGCCACCGCAAACCGGGAAACCGCCTGTCAGCAGGTGCTGTGCCGCCATAACCCCCGCAACCGCCGCCGCCGACAGAGGCAGAGTCCGGCAGCAACTCGTGCGGCGACGGGGAAGCCGGGAAGCTGTCGGGGGAAGCTGTGGAGAAGCTGTGGTTGTGGTTGTTGGTGGTTGAGGTGTTATTGTGGTTGTTCAGGTACTCTTCAACCTCCTCATCAGTCATTATGATGTCATTGTTTGGCATGATGATGTCATCGCCATCGTCAGCGTCGTCCGGCTGCAGCAGCAGGGCGGCCGCCGGGTCAGTGGGGTCGGCGAAGACGGCGCCGGCGCCGGTAGGAAGCTGCAGCTTTAGTAGCACGCCGTCGCCGCGGGCAGTGTGAGGCGTGAGCGGCAGCCCGGCGCGGCGGGCGATGGCCAGCCACAGGAGCGCCAGCGAGCGGGGCGTGCCTGGGGGCGGGCGGGGGCGGCCGGCAGGAGGGCGGCGGCGGCAGTTGAGCTGGTGCGTGCACAGGGTGTGCGGGCGTGCATGCAATCTGCAACTTTGACATGCAGGAGAGCGATCTGCTTTCTCAACAACTTGCTGCCGCGCCTTGCCAAGGCCAGTGGCCCCGGCCCCGTCCCTGCTGGTGAGGCGTATTAGAAACCGGCGTCCGCCCTACGGGCCGATCCCAGCCGAACTGCCCCCCCCCTCCCCCCGCGCCCTCCCCCTGAGTTTTACTGCAAACACACCCAGGCGTCGCGCCAGGAGGCGGTCAATGTAGGTGTTTTCAGGGTCCCAAGGGTCAATGGCATTGCTCCTAAACGCCGCGTCCACCATCACGCCCCGCAGCGCGCCCAGCCGCGCTGCGGCCGCAGCCTCCGCGCGGCGGCGCGAGTCGGCGCCCCAGCCGCCGGGGCCGGAGGCGCGGGGGGAAGACGACCAGGCGGCCTCGTTGGCCGCAAACTCGACACCTGCGCGGCCGCGGCCGCGGCTGCAGTGCTGCGCCCGTGGTGACGCCGCCTCACTTGCGGCGATCGCAGCTGCCACGGTGGATGCTTCTTGCGCGGCGATCGCGGCGGCGCGCTGCAGCACCGCGTCCGCAAGGGTTTGAACCTCTGATAAGATGGCGTCGGGCTCCAGCGAAGGGTTCGCAAAGCGCGAGAAGTGGGCGAGCGCGAGGGCGGGGTCGGGCGCGGCGCCGGCCGCCCAGAGGGGGCCGGCGTTCAGGGGGGCGACGACCTGCTCGCGGAAGTCCTCGAGGGCGGCGAGGCGCGCCTGGGCAAGCAAAAGAAGCACAGGGGTGTGCTCTGGCGGTGCGGGCGTGGTGTCGGGGTCGGGGGCGCCGCCGCCCGCATGGACATGGTCGGAGCCGGGCGGTGTGCAGTGTGGCCGCGGCGCGAGGCGCCTGAGCACTGCTACGCGTGAACAGGTATGCGATAGATGATTTTTCCGATTGAATGTCGATGCATACGCGGGCCGGGAGGCCACTGAACGAGAGATCGTACTTGCATGCATTTGGGCCGAGCTCCTTGTCGAACGAATGAGCTTGAACGATTCAGTGTAATGGATGTTTATATTATTAACCAGCATTTCAGGGCCGGTTGCAGCGTACAAACGCGTCTGGCTTGGGAGCTTCCCATCCCATCATCCCATGCGCAGTTCATTCCTGGCTTCCATCCTGCAATGATTTCACAGGAGGCCGAAACTGAAATGGCTGGGATTTCACCCATAGATTTCAGAGGCCGGTATCAGGGCACATACAAGCTCTTGGATGGTGGCCGTGGTTTTACCCAGTTGACCGCCTTGACCACCCCGTGGCCCCTGCCTGTACCACCCTTGCATGGAGGCAGCAAGCCAGGGTACACAAACCCCCTGTGATGCTGGGAGGCCACAACAAATCGCCCCGGCACGCCTTCAGGCGGGTGGGCGGCTGACTTTGTTGCCACAGGCACGTGTTGGGATGGAGCGGCGTGTGAGCCACACAGCCAAACTCGTGATACAGATCGCAAGAAGAGACCAGGCGGATTCGCAAGCTTGTCCCTGCGCCAGCTTTGTTCGCATTGGCAGGCAAGCCATGGTCATTTTTATTGGCACTGTCGGGGGCGTGTAACAACCCGTGTGTGCTTGTGCTGATGACGACCAGGAAGGTCTTGACTAAGGAGCGGCCCTGGAGTAGACCTCAGTGTGTAGTTCGTGCTCTCCTATGCCGATACCGATTGTACTCATCGAATGGGATTGGATGCATACGCGGGAGTGGCACAAGCGGCATCGAAGGAGTTGATGGGACGCTGACCTGTCCCGCCACAGGTGCAGCTCTTCAGCTCTCGGCACCAATGAGAAGCCAAATGAGCAAAGCCTCCCTCCACTCGACGGCCAGCTGTTGAAACTTGCAGACACATAGCACAACCTCCCGTCTCCTCGTCGCACACAGCACACGTGTAGATCGTTACTCCGCAAAGCTCAAGCTCGAAACGCACTGCCCTGGAGCCATGTTGACACTGGGACGTATCGAAGGCATAATTAGGCCTTTATGGTGCGTCTCGCGCTCGCGCACCATCACTCGCTGCCGTGCGCGCTGCAGTGGCGCCGGCCAGCCAGCTGAGGTCACTGCCAGGGTGGACCTGTGGACACACCAAATGCGCGCACCAAATGCAGGGCAGCCCTTGCACTCAGGGGGTTCCATATACCAGTTTCTACGTGTTTACGTTCCCGATATCCTCACCAATCTGCATGCAAAACCACTGCATGCAAAACACAATCGGCGTTGTCAGGCACACAGGCGCACTTGCGGCCGCCTCATGCGGGGCGCAGCGGCTACTGACCCGCCGCATGGCGAGCGCCGTCGCAGCAGCAGCGCTCCCAGAGCAGCAGCAGCAGCAGCAGCAGCAGAAGCAGCAGCAGCAGAAGCAGCAGCAGCAGCAGCAGCAGCAGCAGCAGCAGCAGCAGCAGCAGCAGCAGCAGCAGCCGGTCCCGCTGGTCAATGTCACGGTCAACGGCCGCCGCGTATCAGTCCCTCTCGGGTCCAAGGTCCTCGATGCCGCACAGGCGGCGGGCGTCACAGTCCCGACGTGAGCGTTGCAAAATTGGTGGTGCACTGGTCAAAATTCGGGAAGTTTCAGGGGCGGCGGGAAGCCTGCTGCTTAGGATGTATCTGGCCCATGTCGATCGTCAATGATGGGCTCCTTTACGTTTCGGAAGCAAGGGGACGCGGCGTCGCGGCCGCCAGCGCCCTCAGGCGGGCGGCCCAGCTGAGGCCAGGCACCAGGCTCGGCCGGCAAAATTCTTGGATCTATTTGTGGCGCCCCAACACACAAAAATACGCATGAAAGCGTTCAGGCGCGACCGCACCCACGCTCACGTGTATCACACAGGCTTTGCAAGCTGCCGGGGCGCAGCACCCCCGGCAGCTGCCGTGTGTGCATGGTGGACGTAAACGGTGTCCACAAGGCCGCCTGCTGCACCCCTGCGGTGGAGGGCTCCTTCATTGCAACTGATACCCCCTCAGTGCGCTGACCTCATCCTTGAATGGGCGCCGAAATCAGCCCTGTTGCATGCCTCGCTCAGTTGCACAAGCCGTCTTGATGCGTTGAGCCGCCGCCTCGGCTCATCCCCGCGCACGCCCATCTTGCATTCCGCACAGCGCCGGCCTGGGCTCGCCCCGAAATCCGCCCCCTGCCCCCCACCAAACGCGCAGGTGCGCGCGTCTGTCCGCGGCACCCTTGCATTGATGAGGGCCAACCATCCAGAGGACTGCATGTCGTGCGACGCCAGCGGCCGCTGTGAGTTCCAGACTCTCATCTCCAAATACCAGGCGAGATTATGTCATCATTAAGAACCATGACATCATCGATGAAGGGATGCAGCCTATAATGCCTGGTTCGTGTGCTTGCAACAGGGTCCTGTGTGACCGTTGGCGCCTCGTCGATCTGGCGCCCGAGTTGCGCGCCCCCACTGCCAACCCCCCTTCAAGCATACAGGATTGCAGCCCCGAGGCCCTGGGTAGCGCAGGGATCGGCCCTCAGGATTTCGCGTCTCTCAGGTGTCGTCGTGGATTTCTGACTGCTGCCCCAGATGTCGTAATTGAGCCCATGTTTTCATTGGCTCGACCCACTAAACAGGTCCCCATGCTGCCCAAGCTGCGGGCCCAGTCACCAGACTACCGCGAGGCGGCCAGCCACTACAGCGCACACGACGCGGTGAGACGAGATGATACCGGATCAGGTCGTGTTTTGATGACATGGGGCGAGGGAGACGTTTCATGCAGGGCTTTTTGCCAGCGTCTAGGCACGCATGCATGCTGTCTGATGCGAACAGGACAGGAGCCATCAGTACACTTTCAAAAGTGAAAATGCAACAGCCCCTACACCGCGCGGTGGACAACCCGAGAATCTCAAGACATCAACACCTGCGGCTCAAAACCCTAAACCTCGTCTCGCCCCTCCCAACAACCTCGTACATCACGACCTCGTGCCGCAGTCGTCCGCGGCGATCTCCATTGACCGCGAGAAGTGCATCAAGTGCGGCCGCTGCGTGGAGGTCTGCCAGGACGTGCAGGTGATCTGGGCGGCCTGAGATCTGAGATTTGGACCGTGATCTAGGCCGGATGCAGTCCTGAGGAGTTGCAAGGCGCTTGCGCTGCGCTGGGCCGGCAGGGACGAGGCGCTGCCTCGGCGCCTGCAGGCTTAATGCGCCTGTTGAAATGTATCCAGCGGATGTGCTTGGGCTTCCCGATAACACCCGTTCGTCTGCCGAACGATTGCACCTCCAGCAGCGCCCGTCGAGATCCTGCCGACCCCGTGCTCACCATCCACATGTGCACATATGCAGAAGATGAACGTGCTGGGGTGGTTCTCGCGCGGCCGCGAGCGCCACGTCGGAGTGTTTTGCGGTGAGGGGGCGAGGGGGTTTTGCAACGGCTAGTGGGCAGCTGCGGTCGCCCCAAGGGGGAGGCGAGCCGAGCAAAAAAATGAGGGCAGGTTGGTCGCCATATCAGCATGCACGGCGGTGTAAGAACCCGAAGGTAAGTGGCGGTTGCGTTGTCGTGCTGTGCGTCAGAGCATGGGGAGCTGCGCGGAGAGTTTGTATCGCAGCCACCCTGCTGCGCCGGCGGCCGCGGCTCTGCAGTCTGCGGCTACGTGTGAAATGCTGGCTGCCCGCGGGACGCTGGAACGATCCTGATCTTGAATCTAATTCTGATCCCCCGGCTGGGCGTTGAGCGCGACGCGTGTGTGTCGTCGAGCGCCACGCGTGTGTCTCATCAAACCGCCAGTACCGCACGTTTTGGTCCCCCTTTGCCCTTCGTCGTTCCTTGCTGCCCGGCAGCTTCCTTCTGACCACCTTTTTGGCCCTGCTTTTGACCGCGCAGACAGCGATGTTTCGGCGAGCGCCTGCATCAGCTGCGGCCAGTGCGCCAGCGTCTGCCCTGTCGGGGCCATCTCTGAGCGGCCGCAGTGGCGCCAAGTTCTGGAGCTGCTCGAATCAAAACGCAAGGTAAAGTAAATGTCGAATGCATGTGCAGCCTATCATTCCCATAATCTGTGTGGAGCACTGCGGAAAGTTTTGTGCGTGGTTCGCACTCGGGACAGGTCGAGGCAGACCTGCCAGGCGGGCGGACTGCGCGGTGGCGCCTCGGCGCAACCCTTGCAGATCTGAAGCGACTGCGCCACCCCATGATCGCACGGTGCACGCACCCTCCCAGCGTACCTTTCTCCCCGAGTCTCGTCGGCGCGCCCCTCTCGTCTCGCCGGTCGCGCGCCTGTGGTGGCGGCGGCAGCTGCTTTGGGCCGAGCCGCGGGTCAGCCGGCGCCCGGGAGCCTCCTATTCCAGCCCCGCCGAGCCGACTCATCTCTTGCATCCACCCTCCACACACATCTGCTTGCCAAAACAACTCGTTTCCTTGCTCATTTTGCTTGGTCGTCCAGGTGATGGTCGTCCAGACGGCGCCCGCGACCCGCGTGGCAATTGGGGAAGAGCTGGGGCTCGCCCCCGGCGCCGTTGCCACCGGCCAGATGGTGGCCGGGCTGCGAGCCCTCGGGTTTGACTACGTTTTTGACACCAGTGAGCGCGGCTTTGATGTGCTAGTCCTGCCAATGTTGATTTATCGGGCTTGTGCCCTTGCAACGTTTGCCCACCAAGCTTGCTGTTGGTGTGGCGCGAGGTTCGGGTGGGGAGAGGTGCTGTATGTGACGGATATGGCCGTTCAAAGCAAAGCTTGGGCGTCGAAAGGCGCCGGGGTCTGTCCTGCGCCCGCCAGGACCCGAAACTACTGCTGGTCGGCTGCGCAGGCCCCACAACCTCGCCCATGCCCCACCCACCCCGCCGCCTCCACTGATAACAATATTGTTTCATTCAGGGTGATTTTCGATAGGCCAACCGCTCATTGTATCTAAATTCTATGCTCGCAGATTTTTCGGCAGACCTGACAATCATGGAGGAGGGAACAGAGCTGCTGGCTCGCCTCCGGGCGAACGCCGCCGGTCGCAGCCCTCCCGATGCTGCAGCCACAGCGGCGGCGGCGGGGCCGGCGGGCGGGGCGGGGCCGGCCGCGCCCGCTGCAGCGGCGGCGCCGCCGCCGCCTCTGCCCATGTTTACCTCCTGCTGCCCTGGGTGAGCGTTTTTGGGGTGCGATCTAGTCGCACCAGACCTGACCAACAGACCAAGCGTGGACATGAAAATAGCTTGGATGCATCAGCCTCGAGTAGCCGGGTTTCCTTCTAATCTGACCCCTCGCCCCACCCCAAAACCTGCCTCACCCACATCACCCCATCCCTGGACCTGGCTTACAATTGCCCACACCCATACATCATGAAACATGAAACATGAAACATGAAACATGAAACATGAAACATGAAACATGAAACATGAAACATGAAACATGAAACATGAAACATGATTCATCGCAGCTGGGTCAACCTGGTGGAGCAGGAGTATTCCGACTTCATCCCCCACCTCAGCTCCTGCAAGAGCCCCCAGCAGGTGACGCGGGAACTTCTCACCGTGAACTGCTCACATACGTTCTGACAGGGGGGCACGCGAGCGTGCCTACCGTACACGTGCGATGCCATGTTGACTCGCCGCTCTGTTTCTGCCTGCTGCCCAGCCAGCCCTGCCCACTGCGTGTGATTATTAGCTGCCGAACATAGTAATGAGGTGGAATCCAACCTTCTAATTACGCCCGCTTGCACCCCTCGCTAAAACCACGCGGCGGCCATGCAGATGATGGGCACGGTCATCAAAATCATCTGGGCCCCCAAGGCCGGCCTCAAGGTATGAGTGCTCCAGCTGAATTGACGCGATTGCCAGCATTGCGCAACAACAGGCGCCAGCTTTCCTGGCGCCTGGTGTTGCGCACTGCTGCCAACCAAGTGTCGACGCGCTGGTGTGTCCGTACACACGCACGGACGCACACGCACACGCACACGCACACGCACAGCTCGCCAAGGCATGCTCGCAAGCCCCCTCCAATTGGCCCGCCATTGGTTTGCGATTTGCCCACTGCTCTCATGCAACTGCAAAAACAGCCGGAAGATGTGGTCGTGGTATCCCTGATGCCCTGCACCGCGAAGAAGTTTGAGGCCGCGCGCCCCGAGATGACGTCACCGGGGGGCGGCCGCCACGTGGACTTTGTGCTGACGACGCGCGAGCTGGGCCGCATGCTCAGGTGGGTAAGCTGTGAGTGTTCAAGTCTTCGGCAGCCACGAATCGCAGCAATCGTGGTGGTCCGCCCAGCTTCCACCGCGATCAGGATCTTTATTGGGGTGATCGGAGCATCGGCACGCACGTGCGAGCGTTGTCCTTTTGCATTGCTTGAATTGCGCTGCCGCTCGCTGTCGTTTGGAGCTGCTGGCGCCTGCACAGCTCCCGGCAGGGCTCAGGTTTGTTGAGGGGCGCAAACTTCCGCGGGATTGCGTGCATTTCCGCCAGCGCAGCGGAGCGTGACCAGCATCGCTCCCAGCGATCCATCGAAGCTGCCGCAACCGCAGCTGCCGTTCCCATCCGGCACACACACGTGCACATACACCCCCATGTCGAAAGGGCCGCAACAAGCGACGCCCTGACCCCGCCACCTTCCAGGTTGAACCGCGTGCCGGCGCTGTCGCTGCCGCCCTCCGGCTATGACTCGCCAATGGCGACAACCACAGGGGCCGCCGTGATATTTGGCAACAGCGGGGGCGTCGCCGAGGCGGCGGTGAGTTATGCAGCGGCTCGCGGCGCGTCATGCAGCTTGCATGCGCCCCTTTGATTGCCTCCTGTAGCAACCCCCGCCCTGTGCCCTGCTCTGCTTGGGCACACCCCTGCTCTCAGTCTTTGGTACAACCCCGATGAATTCCTCACCCAAAAGTGCCTGGAAGCTGGGCGTCTGTTGCTTGGGGGATCCCATTTGGCTCGCAGGCCACGCACACAAGGCGGTGATCCCTTATTAGCCCACTCAACCTGTGATATTTTAAGCATTGAACCCCAAAACCCTGGTGATGACAGGTGCGCACTCTGTACGAGCTGGTGACAGGCCAGGAACTGCCACGGCTGGAATTTCAAGAGGTGATGGCGGCGGGGAGCTTGTGTGTGCATGCAAGCGCGCACGATTGCACACATACAGTGCCCTTCGGCATGCGCCTTGCGCATACGCCGTGCACACGCACGTGTGAAGAACGTATGTACGCTAGGGGCAGTCGCAAGGCTGATGTTGCGTGAACAAATCCAGCATCACGTGAACGCTTCTGCATGTGGGAGAGGATGGTGTGTTTTCGTGCGTTTGCAAGATCCACAAACGCCTAAGTTTGGGGGGGGGGGAACGGACCTAAAACAGCGACAATGGCCGCACCCACGCACGTCGCGCACAAAGGGACGCCCAGCGGTGATGTGCACAGGCGCCTGGTCCTGCAGCTGCCTCCAAAAACGACCCCATTTGACTCGTGCCGGCACCCCCCCCCTTCTCACCGCGATGGGGGCTTCTCGCCCAGCTTGCGCTCGCACTCATCACGTTCCCTCCCATCATCACCCCTCAAACGCATGAGAGGTGGTGATGGCTATCGCGACATTCATGCATGTTGAATGCAAGAATGTGACCCACTTTGATGTACTTACATGCTGTGTGATCTTCCTCACACGACCCCCTCCCGCAGCTGCGCGGCCTGCAGGGCATCAAGCACGCCACCATCCAGCTGCCCGCGCCCGCGCCCGCGCCCGAGCCCGGCGCCGCGGCCCCGGCACCGTCGGAGCTGCGAATCGCGGTGGTCAACGGCATCGCCAACGCGCGGCGGCTGCTGGACGCGCTCAGGGCTGGCGCGGCGCCGCCGCTCGACTTCGTTGAGGTGCGCGCCTCAACAACTGCGCGCGGTCGGTGTTGATGGGGCTGGTTCTGGCTGTCACAGGGGCCGGTACTTGACATGAGGAGGTCTGTTGGGCGTGTCGGCGGATCTCCAGATGTGGTTGGTGTTGTTTGGGACATTGACACTGGCTCTGTGGGGCTCAGTTGGCTAGATTCATTCTGGCTCCGTGGACCTTGCTTGCCCGGGTGCTGATAGGCTGAATCGACTGACATGGCCGTTTGATTTGGGTTGGTTGGTGCCTGCGGCCTGCGGGGCGCGTCCGCGGGGGATCGACATGCAGTTTTGTGTTTTGTTTTGGTGGGGGGGGGGCAAGGGGTTCACGAGAATGTTTGTGTCGCCCTGCAACGGCGGGTTGAATGCAGCCACTCATGCAAACTGTTTGGGCGCCTGCCCGGCCGCGGCTAGTAGGCCCACGCCCACGCCCAAGCCTGCGCCCGCGTTCGCCCGCACCCCCCCAAAGGTAATGACGTGCCCCGGCGGCTGCATCGGCGGCGGCGGGCAGCCCAAGAGCCGAGACCCCGGCGTTTTGGCGAAGCGCATGCAGGTGCGTGGGGGTGGTTGGGGCGCGGTGCATGCAATGCTGCCCATTGGCCTGGGGAGTGATTAAGCGCTGCCAACACAGTGCAGGTGCCCCGTTCTTGATACATGCCCTATGCCAATATCGCAACTTGGCTTGAACGCATCAACTGGAAGTTGGGGCCTGCGGTGCCACGACAAAAAGAAGTTTTGAGGCAGGTCAGCCGACGCACATCCCTCCAGCGGTCTCGCGTCGCAACGTCATGCCGGAACCGCAGTGTGTGGTCAGCTTCTTCTTTCCCCCCCCACGATCTGGCAGCCGTCTGTATATGCACTCTCATGCACACAGGAGCAGGCCCCACCCACGCTTGCGTACACACAGCACTGGTTGTGTAGGAGGGGTGGCACCCCCTCTATACACCCCCCCCACACACACACCACAAACACATACACAAATACACACACACACACCCCCCACACACACACACATCACATACACACGTGACAAACACACACGCACACACACATACGAACACACACTTACAATATGCACATGTACACATCTCACGCCGCCCCCTCTGCAATTGCCAGGCCATTTACAGCATCGACGAGGCTGCCACAATTCGCAGGAGCCACGCCAACCCCGAGGTTGCGGCGCTGTACGCGCGCTCATCCTTGGAAAGCCCGAGCTCCCCGGCGGCGCACGCGCTGCTGCACACGAGCTACAGGGACCGGTCAAAGGAGCACATTACGTGATGATCTGATGATTCGATGATCTGAGCAGACCGTGACCATGATCAAGCTGCTGCGCTGTGCGACGCGGCTCTGCTGTGTGGCGCGCGGTCCAAGGAGCGCGCCCCGCCCCCAGCCGCAGTTGGCTGTGATGTTGAGATCCAGCCTGCGGGCGCTCGCCCTACGGCGTGCATGCCTCATGTTGCATGTGCCTGCTGGCGGCGTGCCAGTTCAACGGCCATGTTGCATTTTGGCCGCCGCGTCGGCCTGCGGCGATGAGGGCCTTGCTGGTAGACGTGTTGGTTGGTGTTGCAGGCAGTTTTGTCATGGGTGTCGTCGGCAGCACCGCGGAAGGCGTCCCAGGGCTCGCATGCAGCCACATAGCTGCTGAGTGTTTTTGCTTGACTTCAGTGAAGGAGAGGCACCAAACCATCATGGTTTGGAAGATGATCTTCCTTGCCCTGCTTTTTTGGCAGGCGCGGGCTGAAAAGCGTGGATGAGTGTTGCTCTTTCTCAGCACGGCTGCAACAACCCTTGAACTTGCATGTCGTTACCCCTCCTGCTGCACACCAAACAAGCGTGCATTTGCAGACGCCTGTGTGTGCGTCCCCGCAATTAATCCTTCCCCACTGATGATGGCTGCTGGTGACTTCAAACATCCCGACCTCAGAAACTCGGCCTGTCACACGGCCTTCATACGAGGCTGCTACCAAACCTGATCAAACCCCGCCGCCGCCTTGCTGTGTGCGAGCTGCTTCCAGGCATTTTTTTTGTGACAGTCGGCTCACGGCGCCGGACCAAATGCACGATGCATTTGTTTGTGCGCGTCTGCGTCTGAGGCGCCCCAAAAGCCTGTATGGCCCCTCCACCCTCTTGCACGTGTCGTTCCTACCAACACAGGCGACGCCATGACCACCTTCAATGCATACATGCCCGCACAAACCACCCACTATTCCTTTTGTCATGTTTGACCTGCCTCCCTGTCGGCTGCAATGTTGACCTTGCTCCGCATTTTCGCGCATGCTGGGATGCAACACCCATTGCTGCTCTGGTCAAGGCGGCATCACGTTCGATTGAGCGGATGAGGCCAGAGTGACTCAGATATGAAGGGGTGCTGGCTGGGTGGACGTGATGGGGCACCCGTTCTTACGAGGGGCACCAGGGAGATGACAGGGCGCAAGGTGCCGTGTCACAAATTGCAAACGGTACTGCGTATGGACGCGTGTCACATGGGACAGGGGCCAAAAATTGATGCTTGCACCTCTTCGCCAGTCCCGTTGGTGATTGGGGCCGCTATCTAATCGGCCGGACAGCGATCGGCTCGCACGTTGAGTGTTGGGGGTTGTGGGGCAACCGTGACACTGGATTGGGTCCCTTGGCCCCTGCAGCCGTGGCGTTGCATCTGGCCTGCGTGTCAATGCGGCAATGCTGGCGGGAACGGCTGCTGGGCTGGGGCTTGTGGGTGCCTGCAGCTGTCGCGACGCCGCGTGGCTCCCGTGGGAGGGGGTGCCAACAGCCCCAGAATTTGTGCTTTCCTGGTCACAGCAGGCGGCCAGCATCAGCTGCCAGCTCCTAGACCTCCCCACAAACACGGCCAAGGCAAAGCTGAATTCTTTCCACAATCGCCGCAAGCAGCTGGGTGGTCACCTGGGCGTCGCATCCGATCAGGGCCTTTTTTGGTACTCAAGGCGCGCCGGCGACCCGCGAGCTCAACCTGCCAGCCAATCCGAGGCGCTGAATTGCCTCAAGGCTGCTTCAAGTGCATCTTGCCCCCCAGGCAGGGTGCCATGGCAGCGAGGACACGACTCGCAGCATTGAATGAAGGCCAGCGAATCACAAAGTTGAGGTTCCCGCGCACTACAGGGAACATGTGTCGTTCGTCAGCAGCAGGCACTCGCGGGTACAACCTGTCACCTGGGGCCGGGAGTGCTCCCACGCACCAAAGGGGAGTTCGGCAGCATTCATCACCACACTGCAGCCGTTGGCGCGGCCTAGAATCAATTCATCATTCGCTTTGTGCATCCACGTGTTGTCCATGTATCCAGTATCGTTGCATGTGTTGCCTGTCTGGGAGGGTCAACGTGATAGGCACCCGCAACCATTCGCAAACAATTACTCCCAGCACGCTTTACTACGTCTGCTTTAGTAACACCCTGAACCATGGAGATACTGTCCACACAGCAGCAAGTGAAGAAGACCCGCTCCTTGAGGTATATCTATGTTCCTTCCAGCAGTCCACCCAGGTTCTGTCGGAGGCTTGAGCCCATCCATGTGCCGACCGACGGGTGTCAGGGGCTGCGTTTTCTGACAGTGGACTTGTTCCCTTAAAGCCGTCAGACAGGAGTGAGCTTCGTAACAAAGCCAAATTTTTTTGCGCCTGTTTTTTACAAGACAAGCCCACGATATTGCATCGTCGGTGGTCAGGACTCCCATCATGCGGGGCAAACGGAGCCTTCTGCTGCCTGTGGCCGTGTGTCTCCTGCTGGCAAACATGCTCGACAGGATGCCGTGCGCCAACAGCAGCAGGTGTGTGCTGGTGGGCATGGAGAGCTTGAGCGGACTGCCTGTCGGTGCCTGTCCACCACCACGCGCACTGCTCAAGGGCACCACGGCTGCAGGCAGCAGCGCAAAAGAGCTGATCGTGCCGTTTGCCTGGGGTGTTGCTGCTGGTGGGGTGAACATCATCGCATGGCTGCTGTATTACTAATCTGCGAGTGCCACCCGCCACGGGGCCACCCCGGGCCTGCTGCCCCTCCCTCAAGCTTGGGCGTGATTTCTGCATGGCCTGATCTTTGACGTGATACCACTCAGCCAATCCATTGCCCAACATGTCGCAGCTTGCAAGCAGTCGCGCCCAAAAAGAAGATCAAGCTGGCGGTGGTGAGCGATCTGTCATCTGTGTGCCCCCAGCCGTTCCGCCCTGCATTGCGGTCCAGGGCAGAAGCATGCACAGCGATCCGAGTGCTCATCTTCAACTCTGTCTTTGGTTGGCCGCTCAATTGCATGCCTGAACATTGTAACTTGTGGTGTGGGGTATAGAAGGCCCACTAATAACCCCCCCCCCCATGCGTTCCAGTCGCCAGCCCTCTCCGCTCACTCCCGCATTGCCCTGCCAACGCCCTTGCATCCTCAACATGTCGTATCTTGTTCAGTGCGCGCCCGTCAAGGCTTTGACCAAGTCGTGCTCTTCCAAAGCCGGCCCGACAGCCCTCATGGACCAGCTGTGCAGCGAGCTGCTGGCACCCGCGAATGCAACGGTTGACGGGAAGGTGTGCAAACGCACGGCATGTGCCAGCTAGCAGCCAGTAGGGTGTGGTGTTGAACTATCAGTACCCAAAGCACACAGCAAGCACCGCATTGGACTAGTCCACAAAAGTGCATGCAGGTACAGGCAGACCGTTACCGCAAGCATGCAGTGACGG